TTGAGCTATGAGATGAGTCTCCTGGCTCCCAATCTCGTTTAAGCTATGAGATGAATCTTCTGGTTCCCAATCTCATTTAATTCCTTTATGAGTATTCACTTATATTTCATGGGTGAAATTCAAGGAATTGTAGGAACTACTGGTCTCTACACTCTTCATTTTATCAAGGAATCAAATTCAGCTCGTATTGTTTTTTTCTCATTTCGGTCCATCATCTTTTTGTTTGCACTTATTTGATAGAGGTTATATATCATCACTCATAAAAAGTTAAGTAGCTACTGTGTAAGGAAATTTGTCATCGATGATCATTTCAGCCTGATACAACATCTCATTCATGCATGAATAACTAACCGAGATTTTCCTTTTCTCGGGAATGGATATTGATGTCGAGGCGTCCCCCGACATCATCTCCCAGACGAATCGATATTCTAGAATTATTTTATGAGATGGATCAGGTGGGATCCCATTGGTACTTGTGCTAACCGGATTCGCTTGTTGGGCATTATTCTCTTATGGAGATGAGAATCCTTTGATCCCATTGCTCTCCCCCTCTTCTAGGCAGGGAGGCAAGATTGGTTAGCATGGATTGATGGTCTACCCATATTTTATCCTTCTAAGACATCTGTCATTGCTGGCTTATTTGAGATCTCGTCACTTTTTCAAACCTGAGAATGAGTCTGGCATTACTCGTCACACACAACTTCACGTCGTTCTTCTGGAACATTAGTGTGGACTTTCTTTACCGATTTATTATTGGCCCCACACGACTTTAAACGTTATTCGGGAATGCCAGTGTGGACGTTACTTGCAGATCTATATAGTCATCCCACGCGACCTCAAATCGTTCTACATGAACGTTTGTGTGGATGATCTAATAATCTATACATCAATTCTCTGATGTAGGAGATCTTGATGAGACACGGTGGGGTCGTCCCACACGACTTCACGCCGTTCTTCAGGAACGTTAGTGTGGACGTTATTTCCTCCCCTAATGGCGGGAAGATAGTCTCATCAAAGTAACAGTCCGTAATTTGAGCGGGTAAGAGATCGCCTGTATAAGGTTCTATATTTAAGTTATATATGGTGATACATATTTCACATATATCTTCTTGGATTACCTCCAAGAAAGGAATTGAATCATTACATGTATGTGCGTATGCTGACATATAATCAAATTACTTGATTTCGAGCAATCGACAACTTATGCTTCTGGCACTCAAATTGTGGTTCTACATAACCGTGTAGAAAATTCCTATAATTTTCCCAATGTACGCTTTTGGCCGTACACGTTAGAGATTATGCACATATATTCAATTTCTTGTCTTCAGTGGTTTCAGCATAATAACCATTAGCACAAATATCTTTAAAGTTTCACAACGTTCTACTGGAAAGTGGAGAAAAAATGAGTTACTTCAATGCGCACAACTGTGCCATGAGATACATAATGTGGACATTACCATAACCATCTATCAAAACTATATGTGCCTCATTTAGTTACCGAAGATAGCTTACTACAAATAGACATGAAATTAATAAAGTACGACTTATCTCTCAAGATAGTATGTGTTGTCGCACTATCTACCAGACATTTACCCCCACATGTCATGTCTAGAGAGTTATATAAACTTAATCACATATATTCAGTACTTCAGGTACTAAATTTATTCATCAAGCAAACACCACTGAATAACATAATAATTAACTTAGAACATATAGTGACACAAGTATATGATCCGGAGCATAAACTAAACATAATTAAAATACGAATATGGTTCATAACAGGAGCATATGAAGTCAGATGATTGAAATTCAATAAACTAATAAACTCGAGTAATAAAATAAACAAAATGCATGAAATCAACAGTTCAATCATCCCGACATGGGTTATTTGGTCAGATGTGCCCAAGTATGGAAGTTGAGCGACGAGCTATACATTGAAAACATTTGTCTCTACCAACTCAGTCTATGTTGGTGCGTTATTATTTGCATCTCCAGCCCCAAAGTTCCTCGCCCTACAGGTGCGCGACCAATGCTCAGATCCACCATATATATATATATATATATATATATATATATATATATATATATATATATATATATATATATATATATATATATATATATATATATATATATATATATATATATATATATATATATATATATATATATATATATATATATATATATAAAAACGACTAGTCATAGTATCCCATTCTTTATGAGGACCCTCGTTCGATGAATAGTCCAGACGAAGGACTTCATCTAATTATCTCGTAATTAGAAACATAGTCTTAGCCTTTTAGGCTTTACCTAATAAATTATTCTCGAAAACAATCATTCTCAATTGCTCACTAAGCGTATGGATCTTAACATCCATTCGCCAAATACATTAAGTTGGGTAAACTTGAGTTTGCTCACGTGTTTCATCTCAAATCAAATAGAATAAGGAGTATTATTGTTTTATGGGAATGTAACATCCATAGACAATTTCATGTATATTTTGCACATATTAGAACTTCCGGTCTAATAATTCATACACCACATGTTCATACACATTCATGGATTTCATACGATAAACCATAACGTCAAACGAAATATTGCTTACCATTTTTGTATCACAAAATTACATATGGCATATAAATAATGGATCAATTGAATAGAATTCTCCATTAGAGATAGACCAAAGTTTTCATTCAATTAAGACAATGAATACTTGCCAAACATTAAAGACATATAGCATGCTCTAATATTGGTATAAAAGATAACCAAAACCGTATAACTTGTCATGATATAAATCATAATTATCATGTATTATAACTCATACAAATTCCATGAACCAACTTGAAATGACTGAGATAGTTAATTACCAATTACCTAATCATATCTATAATGTGGAATTCATACAATTACATTAGGCATAAGTGATAATACGTTAAGAGCATGAGACAAAAGAATATATACCAGATTTCATCACTTTGAATCTCAAACATCGAATCATCACATATAGCCAAAACACATAGAATCATATAGCATGGTTGAGACGGCAAAATTCATGACAATATTTTATACTTGAACATGCAATATTTTTGTCGAATAATAAGATAGCATTTCACATGCTTAGAACAATTATTATATCAAATAACAAGACATTTTAATCACATTATAGAATAAAGATTACCAATCAGATCATGTATTCAAACTATCCACGGTATATATGAAGTAATGACTTGAACATAAAGTTTATTCATATATTTCATGCCATTAAATAGATATATCATGCATCTCTTACGAAATCAAAATTGCAAGGAGATTAAAGTTTATTGAATTGCTTAAATCAAAATAGTACGAAGGATATTAATAAATTCTTCGGAGATTACCGTTTCACATATAAATTTGGATCACAAGTTCTCCAAGTCATCTTGTCCGACGAACAATTACCTTTGCACGAGCACCTCGAATTGTTCGAGTATCCTAACGATTGATTTTCCTCAAAAACGGCGAGCACTTTATATCATTCTTGATTTAATTATTAATTTTCACTCTTTAGCTAATTACTCTGAGTTGCTATGCACATAAGCATGTCTTTCTTGATTATTATAATTATTATCATTATTATTTATATTTTCAGTTCCTTGTATATTAAAAATCGGTGCTTCGTTAGAACTCTGCGAAAATTAGCAATTTGTTAGAAAAAAAAACGAATATCCGCATTTTCTTGTATCTTGGATTAGTATTTCTTGGCAGATTCAAAGTCAGTTTTATGATCTGTATTAGTGTCTTCGGTTTTGTACTTTTGTTCTATAATTCGATATTTGTCTCGTATATAATTTCCAAAAAAAAAAATTTTACGGAACGGTAACTTTTTTGCTACTATTGTGTAGTTTCATTATACGAGAATTAAATAAAACTTGTGCCACAAGTTTGCATATACCGTGAGCTAAAAAAGGAAAGAGTCCTTGTAGCTTCTAATTCTTTTAATTTGTCATTAATTGATTTATAATAGAAATTATTCTTCTAAAGAGTTTCCTTATATTGAAAATATTATTTCCTACGTGATTAAGAGTTTTCTAACCCTAATGGACTCTATTTCCTAGTAGGATTCTTATCACCTGTAGAAGTATAAATAGAGCAGCACGGCGCCTCATACTGTACGCCCTCATACTGTAGACCTTTTGTTGGAGAGAAAAATTATATTTTTCATTATATTTTTCTGTTCTTATTTTTGCTGCTCATTTTTTTATCAAGAGAAACATTTTTTTCATAGAGAATATAAAATATCTTGTTTTTATTGCTACGTGAGAAACTTTTTTTCTAAAATATCTTTTGCTCTCGTTTTTATTGCTACTTCATAGAAAATATATCGGTTTCAAGGCTTTGTGGAGAAGATACGTTCAAGGATTGTGGATTATTCACAAGGATTGTGGATTATTCACAAGTTTGCTTCTTCTATACAAAAAGATTATTCACAAGTTTGCTTCTTCTATACAAAAAGAAGATCGGTTCTTCGGGAGAGGATTTTAAACAGATCTCGGGAGGAGATCGATCCCCCGACTGAAGGGAGTTCAACCGAGCGGAGAGGAGGCTGGCATAATCGGAATTACTAGTTTTGAGTATTGCACAAGAACGGCGTCAAGATAAAGAGGGAGTCTTTAATTTATTGTTTAAGTCCTAATATTGTGCTTGTAAAACTAAAATAGTGAATATTCGTTTTTGCAGATCCTCGTGGATGTAGGGTACAATTGTATCTGAACCACATTCAATTTGTGTCTCGTTTATTTCTGTTTTTAATTGTATCCGAACCAGTACAATTGTATCCGAACCACATTCAATTTGTGTCTCGTTTATTTATGTTTTTAATTGTATCCGAACCACATTCAATTTGTGTCTCGTTTATTTCTGTTTTTACAAACTGTTTCACGAACTGTTTCAACACTTCACGCAACAATAACAAAAAAAACTGAATCTGACACAAATAATTTAATATGCACGAAATAAATTCTAACAATATGTGTTTATTTTTTAAGGGATGAGTGGAATAAGGTTAGATTGGATGAGACGGCTTCGAATAGCGCTCGGTGCAGCGAGAGGGGTGCAATATCTGCATGACTTAGCCAATCCTTCGATAATTCACAGAGATATTAAATCGAACAATATTTTGCTGGACGAACGGTTGAATGCAAAAGTAGCAGATTTCGGTCTTTCTAAGCCAATGGGAGAACCCGAAAAGGGCTACGTTACCACTCAAGTTAAAGGCACAATGGTTAGGACATTTCTCTCTAATTCATCTAAAAACAAACAGTTTTTTTCTCTAATTCATTTCCGATTTCCGCCTATTCTGATCCGAAATTATCGATTTTGAAACAATATTTTTCATTCCGAATTCCAAAAATTCTTATTTTCGATGTTATCGATTTCTTTTTGAAACATAATTTGTATAGTATTAGATTCTGATTTCCGACCCGATTTTTTTCCAAAAATTATACTTGTAATTACTAATATTATTATGTATTGTAAACTATAGGTCACTAAAAAATGAAAACTCCGAATTCTGCCGATTCCGAACCCAAACATTTTGATTTTAGAACAAGTTTTTTCATTCCGATTCAAGATTTTTCCGAAACTTTTCAAAACATAATTGAAATTAGTTTTTCACATCCGATAAAAAAAGCAAATTTTTTGAAAGTTCAAATTCGGATCCGATCCGTCTGAATTCGATCCATGTTATTCAATTTTCTCCGTATGAGTATCAAAAAATTTATGATGCATTTTTTTTAAATCAAAATCAGGGATATTTGGATCCCGAGTACTACATGACAAACCAATTGACAGAAAAGAGCGACGTATACAGCTTCGGAGTTCTTCTATTCGAAATTCTAACCGCAAGAAGTCCAATAGTTAACAGTAAGTACATCGTTCGAGAAGTCAAAGAAGCAATGGACAGAACCAAGGTTCTCTACAACCTCCACGACATCCTCGACCCAATAGTAGCAGCCAACTCAGCACCAGGCAGCGTCGAAAAGTTCACCGACATGGCGTTGAGGTGTGTCCAAGAATCGGGCGATAGCAGGCCCACGATGAATGAGGTGGCGAAGGAGATCGAAAACATCATGGAATCGGCCGGTCTCAATCCACATTCCGAGTCGGCATCGACTTCGAACAGTTACGAAGGGAAAGGAAAAGATCACGAACATCCTTACATTAAAGAGAGTCTCTTTGCATATAGTGGGAGTTTCTCTCCTTCAAGGTTAGAACCCAAGTAGGGGGGCTATGGGGAGCCATGGCCCCCAAATATATAAATATTTATTATTTTTCGAGTAGTGTAGTATTGTTGTTCCGGGCCCTTCTAGATGATAATATTATGTGCTCTCGTGAGTATGAAATTCTGGCTCCGCCACTGGCTGAAAGTGAACTTGTGTGTAAATTTATTTTTCAGAATTTGTTGCATGAGTTTTGTGAATTGTGCATGTATATTCCAAGATTTATTTTATTATCCTTTTTCATTGCCAGGTTAAATGGTTGAGAATAGAGCATATTTTGAATCTAAGTATTCAAGGGCTGAGAGAAGTGTACACTTTGTTGGTGAAGTTTTTGTTTGAGTGAAATGATTTTGATTTTTTTTTTTTTTTTTAAAGATTAAATGTTTTTTGTTGGTAGTAATTCTACTAGTTTACTTACCTCTTTGAGTTCTTTCAATAACTTTAGGGTTGGAAATGGGTTACATCGGATTGAAATTAATATTTTTTTTTAAATTAATTCCAACTTCGTTCTAAGTATGTGTTTGAAAAAAGTTGGTAAACAATGTTTTGGAAATAATAATGAAAAACATTGGCTATGTTTGGTAAGCTTCTCGAATTCTTTTCATTCTTTCCCCAAAATAAAATTATCTTTCTGAAATATTTTCAAAAACTTTCGCCAAAAAGAATTCAAATTTTTCTCTCTCCAACAAACATGATTTGACAGCTACAGTGAAAATTATCTTCACTAAATTACAAACTAAAATCACTTTATCATTCAAATTCTTCTTTCAAAATACTTTTTTCCAACATCTTTTAGACATGATTTGACTTGCTACAGTACAAATTGTTTCCTCTCAAAACACAAACAAATTTTATTTTATTTTCAAATTCTTCTCCCAAAACATTTTTCTCCAGAATAAAATGGAAATGGAAGCCCAAAAGCTTACCAAACATAGCCATTTCAAAATTGAAAAAATTCAAATTAGAAATATTTCAAACCTTTTGAAAACATTCCGAATTTTCTTAGTTTTATCGGAAATGAAAATCGGTTCGGAAATCAGAATTTCCAAAACTCTGTATTTGTTTATGATTGGATTGAAAAATCCAAGTTAAAATCAGAATTATTCAGATCAGAGTCGGCGGAACAAATTCAGTCCCAAAAAATTATTGTGGAAATTTTTTAAATAATTCTTAAATATATATTTTTTTGGAAAAGTTTGGAATTACTTTCGGATATTTCAGAGATTCAATATTGAATTCCGATTCCGGTCTAATTGTTTTCGATAAACTCATAAATGAAATTTCGGAAATCAAAATCAGGAAAACTATTCCAAAATTGGAATTTTTCAGAGATCAAAATCAAGAAAACTATTCCGGATTGAAATTTTCGGACCGGAATTGGAATCTCCACCCCTATTGAGAACCCTAACGTTTAATTTCCGAACAGCTTTAGTATGTATTCGTCCCCACAAAGACAGGATCAAATTTCGTTCCAAATTTCGTTCCGAATAGTTTTTGAAAAAATAACCGAAATGAAAAACTTTTGAATATTTTGGATTCAAGAAACACTTGTTTCAAAATTGAAAATATTTCAATTCATAATCACCGTAATTTAGAAATTCCATCACTTTATCAAAACCTATAAAGTAAATCCAAAATAATATTGATATTATAAATGCAATTCCATAAGAATAAAAAATATTTGGATTATTTTCAAAAATTAAAATCACATAAAAAGTTGGAACTCCTATAAAAAAAATATCGAAACAAATCCAAGTTTTACAAATTTGTAACAAAAAATTGTTCTAGAAAAATCTGCATATTTTTTTTCGGAATTGACGGAATTCAAAAACTTCCGATTTCAACACATAAAAACATGGTATTCAAAGGTAGAACAATTCAAGCAAAAAGATGGTATTCAAAATTGGATAACAAATTGTACTGAAGTAAGAATCCAGAATCCAGAATTCATATATATCATATAATTTAAGAAAATGAGTACGAAATCTCGTTTGAAGTTCTCTATAAAAACTCTCGAAAATCACAACAAGTTCCCATAAATATCTCATTATTATGCACTATGAAACTCCACAGACAATCTACAACAATAAAAGTTGAGTTAATCTATATTTCTCCAATTTTTAATATCCGACAAAAAAGAGCCGCATATACAGACAGGCATTACCGAGACTTTTTACTCTGGACTGCTTCCTTTAGCTTATGCCCGAGTGCATACGCTAGAGGAGGAGGAACAGCATTTCCAATCTGTCTGTGCCTGTGCAGCACACTACCAGAGAATTTATAGCTATCTCGAAAACCCTGCATAAATTATTTGAATTTGTCTTAGATCTTCTTGATTTATAGGTATAAGCGTTTGCAAAAAAAAAACGAAAAAACAGGGGAAGTCGACTTACTTGTGAACGCGCACATTCACGAACAGTGACGATCCTATCTTGCTCAGGATGAAAGCACATTCCCACTTTACCCATCGGCTGTGGGTCGGTTATGGAAGTCGGGAAATTTCCCTCCCAATCCAACCTTCCAAACAGCCCCTTCCACTGATTGTGCCTCTTGGCAGTATTCGGCAAGCACCACGGTATTAAATCGACCACTTGACCGTTAGACAATTTAACCTGTATAAATTATAGAAACTCAAAATTAGCTACAAAATACAACAATCATTTTTTTAACAAATAAATATACGACCATTTGGTTGTGAAAAATACGCACCTTCTCATCTGGAAGATCACGCCAGTCACAACCAGGGCGCTTAGGAATTCTCTGACACCTGATTAGATTCAGCTCGTTCATTTCCTTGGATATATGATCGATTAGTACATCCATGTTACCTCGGATTGTCTTCTGGTACCACGATATAGGTTCACCTTGGTACTGCATTGACGAACAAACATTAATAAAATAAACATGAAAAAAAATACGTAACGAGTTTTAAGCAGTTATTTTTTTTAATACCTGTAAGCTTTTGTTAGATGCACCGTTGCCCACGGGAGGAAGATCTCCGATAGTATCTCTGACTGTAAGAGGGCGAAACGGAGCTCCTTTTGCAGTACTTCTAACGGCAGAGTAGTGAAAGTTTTTGGACATTGAGATTTTCAATTCTGGTGCTGAAAAAACGTGCATTGGCTCAGGCCACTCTGGGAGCTGCTCTTCGGGTGAGGCTGCCCAAATGAAAGCTCTCTTCCTCGACTGAGGAACCCCGTATGCACCAGCTTCTAGTATACCAAATCTCACCTAATGCATAAAATAAACATTTAAATATAAGAAAAAAAAATTGATCAGGGGATGCCGAAATTGCAGATCAAGTACTTCATTCTCAAACAATAATGCAACGCATGTACCTGATAACCCATCTCGAGAAGTGAAGCTACAGTCAAGCGAAAAGTCTGGCCTTGATTGAACGACACGAAGTTCCTCACATTCTCGAGAAGGAAAAACTTTGGACGGTAGTAGTCGGCGAAGGATAAAAATGCCAAGATCATCTCACACTGAACTTTGCTCCATGTGCTCTGATTGAATCTGTTCATTCCAGAAAATCCCTACAAAACAAAAATTTTGCGATTATTTTTAACGAACGACGTTCGAATAATCTGACGAGACAATGTTATGTTCCTTTTTTTTTTTACCAACCTGACAAGGGGGCCCTCCATTAATGAAATCAACTTGTCCTGGCACTGGAAGGTTAGCAAGTTCTTCCTTGTCGAGTTCTGAAACCAACTTATCAGCCTCGGGGGTCGAAATGCAATCCTCTTCATCCCCACACTTCTCCATCACCGCCCTGCATTTATATGTTTTCTTAGTGTTGCTATATCATACGCTGGTTTTATTCTAACTTTTGATTATTACTGTTGATAATACCAAGGGAATTTTGATTTACAGTTAGCAATCTACCTAAGGATGACGTTGCAATTGTTTACAAACACCAAAGCTCCAGGATGATTGAGTCTGAATGCATCTCCAGCAGGCTCTTCGTACTCGATAGCCCATTTTGTGGAAGAGGCACCTGAAAAATTTAACAAGAATCAGATTGCACTTTCAAGAAATTATATAATCTTAATTTAATGTAGCACAAGCAAGTGAAAGGCTTGCCTGATTGCTCTAGCCCCTCAGACAACCCACCGCAGCCAGCAAATATGTCTAATGTAGTCAAACAGTTCTGCGTAGGTGCTTCCTTGAGTTTCGCAGATTCCGAATCCATCTCTCCTTCTTTGCATTTACCCTTCTTTTTCCTGGCTGTAACATCGTCACTCACCTCTGTGCTAAGCTGTCCAGTGGAGTACTTAATTTTAATTTGTGATGGCAACTGCACACGAAGAAGAATTGAAACATCAATCAGAAAATAAGAAATGGCACAAATTAGCAACAAAAGAAGAGCAGCAAATTGGGGGCATAGAATGTATGCCGGGAAACAAAAAAAATGGAAGGAAGTGTAACCTGTCTAATGGATCCTTTGGACGGGTCGTACTGATATTCGCAGAAGAAAACGTGATCAAAGATTAAAGGGACATCTTGTGGCCCAAGATCCTTCTTCTTTCTGATCTCACATTTTCCTTCGATCACATCAACTGGTACAGTGTGCATTTCCTCACTGTAGTAGATCTAAGAAAACATAAATAAAAAAAATTCAGTCCTTGCAAGATTTTAAATGTGAGCAATATCAGTCAACATTGCTAGTTCTAACTAGCAACTTACCTCCCGAATATCGGAAGAGTAGCCCTTCTCCAATGATACATCATCTGGCCTGAAAAATCTTCTAACTTTGACTCGAACAGAGCTCGCATCAGCGTTTTTAGGATGCTTAACATCACAAATTTCAAGCAGCTGACATATAGCATATGCTTTTAAGCCGACATTTCTCCCACCCTTGAAAAGTTCAGCTCCCTTTTCTGCTGAAAAGTAGTTCGGACTCACATAGACGTAATCATCGATCGAATATTCAGTTCCGCAGTACGTAAAACTGGATAAAGAAGCATCCAGCTTAAACTTTTCTCTCTCCTCGTCAACTTCTCTTACTTTACATGCCTGACATGATCCAGATGCAAGCCCCATAAAAGCATATGGAAGAACAAAGAAGGCACCTCTTTCAGGCCAATACAA